CCATACCAAGAAAGTAAGACATTTCTCCAAGATGTCATTTTAAAGACCTTTATCATTTCCGCTTTGAATTGGTTCACCATTGCTGTATTATTTTCTGTTATAAATAAATCATCAACATACACTAAAAATACAATCAAATTAGTGTTAGTGCTTTTGACATATAAAGTTGATTCATTCAAACTTTTCTTAAAGTCAAAACTGAGTAAATGCTCATCAATCCGGCTATACCAAGCTCTTGGAGCTTATTTTAGGCCATACAAGGCCTTTTTCAATAAATACATTTTGTCTTCTTCTCCTTTGACAGCAAATCCTTCTGGTTATTCTATGAAAATCTCCTCCCGCAAGTAGCCATTTAGAAAGGCTGATTTCACATCAAGTTGAAATATTTTCCAACCCTTTTTGTGCTCCAAGGGTAAGTAACATTCTAATGGTGTCAAGTCTTACTATGGGTGCAAAGGTTCTTAAAAAATCTACACCAGTCTAGCTTTATGTTTGTTGATTGTACCATCTGGATTAAGTTTTTTCCTCTACACCCATTTTACACCAATGGGTTTTTGTTGCTTGATCTATTAACTAGCTTCCATGTTTGCTTATTCTCGATCATCATGAGCTCCTCCTTCATGCATCCATCCATCTTTGATCTTTTTTTGCTTTTTTGAATTCTACTTGTTCTAAAATGGCTACATTGCAACTTTAGTAAATGTCAATAAGTGATCTCATTCCTCTTACTAGCGCTTCATCAACAAGATCATCACAATTTTGTACAATCAACTCACTCTGACTTTTTTCTACATCTTTGAAATTCTACTTTTCAACTTCAACAAATTTAATGTCTCTGCTAATTATTAGCTTTCCTGTTTGGAGCTGATAAACTCAATAGGCTTTTGTAACATTGCTGTAGCCTACAAAAATGTCAATCTCAGCCTTCTTATCAAGTTTGTCTCTTTTTACTTGAGGAACAAAAGTGAAACATAAGCATCCAAAAATTTTTAAATTGTGCAGTGACGGTTTATAATCGTGCAAAGCTTCATACGGAGTTTTATTGTAGAGTGTTCTTATTGGCAGCCTATTTAATAGAAAGACTGCAGTGTTCACAACTTTTGCCCAAAATTTCTTGGGTAGATCTTTCTCAAATAATAGGCACCTTGACATCTCCATGATTGTTCGATTTTTCTTTTCACTCACACCATTTTGTTGTGGAGGGTAAGGTGCAGTTTATTGATGTTCAATCCCTGCATCTTCACAAAACCCAGCAAACTTGTTAGAGCTATATTTAGAGTCATTATATGATCTTAGCACCTGAATTTTCTGACCACTCTGATTCTCAATCCAGTTTTTAAAGTTCCAAAAGATATTTGCAACTTCATATTTAAATTTCAAAAAATAGATCCAGCACATTCTTGTGAAATCATCAATGAAAGCAATATAATACCCATTCCAATTTAAGGATTTTATTTTAACTGGCCCAGCAACATCAGTATGAATAAGTTAGAGCTTTTGCTTTGTTCTCTAAGCTCTATTCTAGGGAAAAAAGAAGCTTGTCTTGCTTTCCATATTGACAAGAAAGACAAACTGAGATTTCTTTTTCCAGATTTGGGATTTGCTGCACCATCTCCTTTTTCTGCATATGCACTAAAGCTCCTTGGTGAAAATGCCCAAGCTTTTTATGCCATAGTTCAGCTTCATTTGTTGTTCTAAGAAATGTAGCTGACTCCTCTTTTGTCCAGTCTAATGAGAAGTTTTTTCCTTTTATTTTTATGGTGAATATTTCTATATCAGTGTGATAAAAAATTAAGCATCATTTGTCTTTAAAAATTACAGAGTATTCTCGTTCAAGAAGCTGCCCAACACTCAGTAGATTTTGATCAATTTCAGATACAATAGAACATCTGAAATTAATTTTGTACCTGAATTTCCTTCAATGGCAACCATGCCCTTACCTTCAACTGGAATATTTTATCCATTGCCAATTCTGATTTCGGAGATGCTTGATTTTTCAAATTACTTGAACAAACTTCTATTATTAGTTTTGTGATTTGTATAACCACTATCAATGAACCAGCAATCACTAACATGTTTACTGACAAAGCAAGTAGCAAACAATTGTTCCTCCTATTGTTGATCAGCAACCTGTGCTTCTTCTTGTTAGTGAGCCCCTTTCTTGTAGATCTTCTCCACATGTGCCAACTGATTGCACCTCTTGCATCTCACATCAGATCTCCACCATTAATTTTTTTGTAAGTGATTTATCTTCTTACAGTATTAGCAAGGAGGAAAATTTTCAGTTTTCTTGTTGTTGCTGCTGCCATCACCTTTGTTAGTTTCTTGTTCTTCTTCTTGCCTTTGTCACCTTTCTGGTTTTCATTTTGGCTTGGAAAGCTCCTTGCATAGAACCTTCTTGCCTCATTTGCCTTCTTTGTTCTTGAGCCTGTAGAGCATTTAACAATTCTACCAAAAGTAATCTTTGACAAATCTCTTGAGTTTTCTAAAGAGGTGATTGTAGCTTCAAATTTCACAGGGATTGTAATAAGAATTTTCTGAAAAATTCTGGAACAAGAAAAATCAGTGCCAAGAAGTCCTTACTTTATTGGCGATACAGAAAAGTTTGTCTACATAATTTTTGATAGTTTCTGACTCTTTCATCCTTTGTATTTTGAATTCTCGAACTAAATTCAGCACTTGCATTCCTTTGATCCTTTCACTTTCTTTATATTCTTTCTTTAAGGAATCCCATATCTCTTTAGTAATTTTCATTGTCATTATTCTGTTGAAAATAACAGAGGAGATAGTTGTAAACAAAATTAATCTGGCTTTAAATTTTCTGAGACTCATTTCTTTTTTAATTTTGATTTGCCCAAGAGTTGGATTGTTTGGTAACTCAGGAACTTCATATTCTTGCTCTACAGCTTCGAGATAAGCTTCTATTTTAATATCTCACATTTGATAATTTGTTCCATCAAACACTGGAGGTATAATTAGAGTAAATGAAGCTTCTAAATCCATTTTTTGTTTGAAGTGAGGTAAGAGTTGTTGTTTAGGAAAAGTGTTTAAATTCTTAATCTCATAGATCCCTTAAGAATATTGCTATGATACTAATTTGTTGTTGTATTTTTATTTTGTCTTTGTTTGGCAAACCAAATATGATAAAGAGCAAAAAAGATAGAGTTTATAAGGCAGAAACGGAACCATAAAAATATGTTTTTTTCCATTTATAGAAGCACCATTTTATGCAAGAATTTGAACAACTAATAGTATAAAAATATGCAGAAAATAAAGACATAATTATCAAGAAAAAAGAGCTATTCTACTACAGTTTTATTTATAACAAAATCCAGATTTTGTGAAACTGATTTTGACTTGAAGTAAACAACTCCAGAAACCAAGTCTTCCACAGTAAATGAGGCAGCTTTCATCAGAAAAGGCTAATGAAAGTAAAAGAACAAACATCAATGAATAATAAAACTTCACAACACTGTTTCTAGAAACATGTAATCTCTGTTTATTCAAGATAGAAGCTTCAGTGAGTCAATTCAAGGTCAATTAACAAGGAGCATGAAGTTATATCTAGCTCTTTTAATCTACCTAAATATTTCTACAAGTCTATAGGACAAGGTATACAATACAAGGAAATACGTTTTTGTGCCTTTCAAGTGTGGCCAACATTGCAAATCCATTATCATGAAACCATGAATGCAAAAAATGGCATTTTTCACCCTTAATGCATTTTTTAGAGACCCAAAACTTACAAACCCTTCCTTGAGTCTTTGGAGCATTACTATCGGATTCATCATATCTGGTATTTGAAGTCATTGGATTCCTTCTGTCACAATTATACATTTTCTTGGATGCTTCTCAGATGTGACATGACACTACTCTGCAATCCAAACTGATGAGTTCTTAAGGCCATTATAGGGGTTATTCCTTGGTTGATCCTTGGGCAAGACTTGATATTTTTTGGTAGCAACTTGTGTAGAAGTCCCACAATAGGTCCCAATTAGGCTAGAATTTTTGTTGTGAAAATTTTTATGCTTAAGGTGAGAAAAGAACCGATTTTGGGAATCAAATTTCAATGCTTTATTCATGAGCTGCAGTTATTTAAATACAAAAACTTTGGAACTAATTGGCTCTACATCTATGAACATGATAAAAGCAAATTCCTACTTCTATGAACATGATAAGATAAACATAAAATGGCAACTGTTAGAAGTATGAAAGCAGCTCCTACAGACAGGTAAGGCTCGATTGAGCCTGCTAATATGCACGTTCCCTTTCTTACCTTTATCTATAGCATTTGGTTTAGTCTAGATATTTTGGGTTTCTTATTGGAACCCGCTGTGACCTTCAGATCTTATCATCATTCCCCCTTTTTGAGCAACCTCGTCGTCAAAATTGTTAAATTGCTCAGACAGATCTTCTGTATTTTTCCAAGTGGTGTCTTCTGCTGGTACATTCTTCCATTTGATTAAACTTTCTTTTATAAATTTGCCTCCCTTTTTAACCCAACAAGTATCCAGTATTGCTTATGGCTACAGCACAATATTCCCTTCATCTGTGATTATTGGAAAGTCCTTGGTGGGAAAGATGGCATCGCCTATCTTCTTTTTAAGTAGGGAGACATGAAATGCGGGATGAATGTGAGACCCTTCGGGAAGCTAAAGTCTATAGGCAACTAGGCCAATCTGCTGTTCAACACAATATGGGCCATAAAAGTGGCAAGCAAGATTTTAAAGTGCCCTTCTAAATACAGTATACTGGCGATAGAGTTAAAGTTTAAGGAACACCCATTCGCCTTCTTGGATCTAAACATAGCATCTTTTTGAATTAGTATTTTATTATATTCTATTGTTTGCTGCTTCTAGGTTGGCTTTGAGCTTTTGGATCAATTCATTTCGACTTGTCAAATATTGGTCTACCTCATCTACTGGGGTCATGCCTTTTGGGTAATAGGGAATACTAGGTGGGGTCGTCCATATGGAGCTTAGAAAGGGTCATGTTGATGGATGAGTGAAAAGTAGTGTTGTACCAAAACTCCACCCAAGGAAGCATAGAGTTCCATTTATTTGGTCATTGGTAAGCTAAACACCTAAAGGTACTGCTCAACACATTTGTTAACAATGTCTGACTATCGATAAGTTCGGAGGTGATATGATGAGCTCATCTTTAGCTGAGTAATTGAAATTTTGAAGAATTCATCCCAAAAATAACTTACAAATATGGGGTCTCTGTCATTGGTAAATGGAGTGTGGCATTCCATGTAGCTTCACCACACCTTTAACAAATTTTTCGATAATCATTTTAGCAGTATAGGGGTGTGCTAAGGCCAAAAAGTGTGTAGATTTGCTAAGGTAATCAATTACCACTAGTTTAATGTTCTTACTATTAGAGGGAGGTAATCCTTCTATGAAATCTATGGTGATATCATTCCATTCTTGATATGGAATTCGTAGTGATTATTGGAGGCTTGCTGGAGATAGTGTTTTGGTTTTAGTCCCTTTACAAGTCTCATAAGTAGATACATACTCTTAGACCATTTATCTCATAGAGAGCCAATAAAATTGTTGTATTAACCATTTATAGGTCTTTAATAATCTTAAATGTCCTCCTAAGAGGGAATCATGATAGTCGTGTAGAAGTTGTTGAAATAGGTTGGACTTCGGAAGAATTACCACTGAATGCTTATAATAAATAATCCACAATTCCAAGTGTAAGGGCAGCCAGGCTATTCCTTAACTAATTTCCCAATCTTTTGCATGTAGAGATGTTTTTTTACCTTTTGTTTAATATTTTCTCATATATGGTTTATTGCAACAAACAGGGTGCTAAGTGTGGGCCTTGTTGCTTGGCAGGAGAGGGCATCAGCAATAGTATTCTCTTTTCCTAATTTATAAGTAATCTCATAGTCATACCCAAATAATTTGAAGACCCATTTCTATTGTTCCAAAGTGGTGATTCATTACTCTAATATGTACTTAAGACTGCGTTGATCAGTTTGGATGAAAAATTTGCGACCCATGAGATATGGTTGCCAAGCTTGTACTGCAACCACAACTGTCAATATTTTTTTTGCATAGATAGACCAAGATTGTTTGGATACACCAAATGTGCAACTAAGGTAGGCTATCGGTCTTCCTTATTGACTAAGAACTGCTCTTAATCCGTCTCTAGAAGAATCTGTCTCAATTGTGAAGTGCTCATTGAAGTTTGGCTATGCTACTGTTGGAGAAGAAGTCATGGCTTATTTTAAACTGGCGAATGCTTCTTCTACGGCTTGAGTCCACTCAAACTAACCCTTTTTTAGTAAGTTGGTTAAAGGTTGTGCAATGAGTCCATAATTTTGTACAAACTTTTTGTAGTAGCCAATTAACCCTAAGAATCCCCACAGTTCTATCACATTGATGGGCATTGGCGAATCTAGCATAGCCTGAATCTTACTTCGATCCAACTTGACCCCTTCTGGTGTGATGATATGGCCAAGATACTTCAAATCTTGTTTCCAAACACATATTTCTTAAATTTGACAAAAAATCTATGTTGCTTTAGGATTTGAAATACTTGTCTAACATATGCTAAATGTTAGAGCTAACTGGAGCTATAGACTAGATGTCATCATAAAATACTAATACAAATTTACGCAGGTACCAATGAAAAATGGTATTCATTACAGGTTGAAATGTAGAAGGTGCATTGTATAAACCAAAAGGCATTACCAGGTAATCATAGTGACCATTATGTGTCCAAGAGGCCATTTTATGGATGTTTGTTGGGTGTACTCTGATCTGACGATACTCAGCTATTAAGTCGAGCTTGGTGAAATATGCGGTGTCATATAATTCATTCAACATGTCTCTATAGTCAAAATGGGAAACTAGTCTTTGATGATGACTGCATTGAGAGCTGGTAATAAGTACAAAGTGTCATGTGTCATCTTTCTTTCAGACGAGCAAAATCAGATATGAAAATGGGCTAGTGCTTGGTCAAATGAGACTGAAATTAAGTATATCAAACACTTGTTTCTCAATCTCCTCCTTCTAAAAATGGGCATAATGGTAGGGATAGACGTTGACCAGTT